TAATAGATTTGTTTATGTTAAAAATAAACTCATGAAATTTTAATTATTCTGAGTTCTTAGACTTATTTCCAAGGCCTTTTCCCAACTTTTTGATGGAATTTGTATTTCGTGTGTACATCAATATACTATCAAAATATTACATTGCTTTTAACAATCAGTAACAAAAAAAACAGTTTTCAAAGTGTGTAATGACTTGGAACTGTAAGAAAAAAGAAACTTCCAGAATATCAAATTGATAGAACGACAATAATATGCAACGAACCATCGTACATATGCCATGTTGGTTTCTAACAACGTTTTTCGAAATGAACATACTTTATTTAAAATTGTAATAAGCTTTTCCTTTGAAAAAGTTGTTGAAAAAAATTGTACATAGCTAAATGCACATAGTTAAGCAAATGACTTAGAAGCTCTGGTCAAACATGATCCAAAGAGATTGCAAACTTCTCGTATTTGAGGACTTAAATGCAACATTGGCGTGTCCTGGTCTCAATCTAAACAATTGGCTGGGGCAGCATATGCTGCAAGAGATTCAAACGGACTAAAAGTTGGGAATGGGCATTAGAAGATCTTATTCTCAAATTAGCTTTATAATTTTTTAGCTTTATAATTTCTTGCTAAGACTAAAAGTTGGGAATGGGCATTGGAAAGCATGAGAAGCTTGTATCTGGAGACATTTGTTGCTACTACAATGGATATTATTAGAGCCCTAAATAAGCCTCTAGAATGGGCTGTTTTGTGTAAGATAGGCCAACATGAGACATTTTGTTTGAATTCTAAGAATGTAGTTGTTCAACAAAAAAAAAAAACCTCGGAAGGTAATGAAGAAGGGCATCAGGGAAACCCTTAGAAGGGCATCTGATGGCTTGTGTGGCTTCTTACCTTAGAGCATCCACAATGATGGATTCCACTGTGGAGTCCTTAGGAGCATCCGCAACAAGGGATCCTTAGGGGGAATCCTTAGGAAAAAAGAAAAAGGACATTTCAGATTATATAAGGATATTTCGGATTTTTTCTTTAAAAAAAAAACTGACCAGTCACGGACCGACACGTGGGCAGTGGAGCCCGCAAATAGTGTAAGGATCAATCCTTACATAAGGATTTTATCCTTAAAATCCTTAACTGTTCATGGGACCCATTGATTATAAAATTAATATTTCCTTAAGGATTCTCCCTAAGGACCCCTTGTTGCGGATGGTCTAATGGTGGATTCTTTCTAGGAGTTCTTAGGAATTTTGTTTTTTTAAACATAAGAAATTTAAAATTTTATTAATTGCATTGACCGGTTTAATAACATCTATTTAAACAATGCAAATTTTTATGTTTGTTTGAAAATGTAGCAAAACTCGACTTTAAAAGATTATGAATTTAACATGTATAAGAGATCGAGTTTGGAATGTATGAATTTAATCATGATCGAGTTTGGATTTAGTAAACAATAATCTGAAGACTTAGGTTTAAAAACAATACTAAGATGAAGATATAAGTTTAATAACAACTTGAAACAACAGAGCAACAACAGAACAACAACAAGTACTTAGACAGACATGTACAAGAGTACGTGAATCAAGAGACTAACATGGAACACCAACAAATGAAGAAGAACATGAAAGAAGATCATATGCCCAGGAGAAATACATAAGATAGAAAAGACTTAAACCTTGTTCTTGATTAGTTAGTAGGAGAAACAAAGTACATTACAAGTCTTTCATTACAAGTCCAAGAGAAGCAGAATACAAACCAAGTAGCTTACAAGAGAGATGAAAAGGAAACAAAACAAAGGACCTAGCTAAATAGAAGTGAAGTTAGACAGCAGAACCTGTGAAGAAGATCACATATCCTACAAGGAAAAAAACTTGCACTTGTCCAATTGCACCCGTGAGTGAACCTACAACAACAAAAGCATTACAGCCTTAGACAGTACGATCGGTGAAACGAAGAGCCGAGGAAGTTGAGCCAGAAGCAATGTGACCTGCAGAACAAGACAAAACAAGCAAGTTAAACCAGAAGCAATGTAGTAAAAGAAAGAACAAGCAAGTTATTAAAGACAGAACAAGCAAGTTATTAAAGACAGAACAAGCAAGTCAACTCCAACACAAAAGACTCACCACTCTTTTTGCTCAAGTGTTTGCTCAGTATTTCAGAACACTCTTTGCTTTCCGGACATACACACATCAATGGAGAAGTTTTTCCGTCTCCAACCACATTGAACACAAATAAGTTTCATATGTTGCATCTGTTATCAAAACAGAACTTTGTCCAGCCACTTCTAATGTAATACATGCCGCCTGTTACGACAATTGAGCGCTCTCTTTTGTTTTACCATCTGATCCCTCGTTTGAATGGATATCTATTTTTCAAGAAGTTTTTTCCATTAAAGACTAGTAAATTAATCTGCTTAAAATATTTTTTTTAATTTTCTAATTATAATTGAATTTGGGAAAATTGCTTTTATGAGTTCAGTTTTCTTTTTTTTTTCTTGGTCGCATTTTTAAAATTTTTATGTTTGATTGAGTTAGATTTAATGTTTGATTTTGGAAAAATCCAAAAATTTAGTGTTTATTTTGGACCATAAACAAATAGTCGGTGAAAAACAAAAAATAGTCGGTGTAAACAGATCCAATTGGGCATAAACATAGGATCCTCGTATTATATCTTCCAGTGTCATTTAAGAAGACAAGTTTTATCTATTTCAAATGTTTCTGATCCATCTAAGGAGTAGAACGCATAGCTTCCTGAAGAGATTAAAATTGTGCCACCTTGAATCCTATGGACTCTGGAAGAATATGAATATGTTGCTATTTAAGAACAAGTTCTTTACAGCAGGTATGGTTGTCTCTGACCCTTTTCTCATTTGGTCATCTTGCGGTTAATGGACAATCAAGAATACAGCTTGGCAAGATCATCGATAATCAGCTATTTCAGGCGACGTTTTGGGGACTCCAGCATCCGAGAGGTAAAACCCACTTCCCTGGGGTTAATGTCAATAGAAAAGAACGGTTATTGGTAGACTAGTGATTATTAAGCTCTCTATCCGAACACGTCGGGTAGGTGGTAATGCGAAACTAGAATTGTAAAATATTGATCTAGTTCATTTTGCTTGAGTCCGGTTTGTATTCGACATTGATGCCCTCTTTGGGAATTATCAATATATATAATTTTTTTTAACAAGTTCTTTACAGCAGAAAAAGTTGTTGAAAAAACTTGTACGTAGCTAAATGCACATAGTTAAGCAAATGACTTAGAAGCTCTGGTCAAACATGATCCAAGGAGATTGCAAAATTCTCGTATTTCAGTACTTAAATGCAACATTGGCGTGTCCTGGTCTCAATCTAAACAATTGTCTGGGGCAGCATATGCTGCAAGAGATTCAAACGGACTAAAAGTTGGGAATGGGCATTAGAAGATCTTATTCTCAAATTAGCTTTATAAGTTTTTAGCTTTATAATTTCTTGCTAAGACTAAAAGTTGGGAATGGGCATTGGAAAACATGAGAAGCTTGTATCTGGAGACATTTGTTGCTACTACAATGGATATTATTAGTAGGGGTGTGACGGATCCGGATATCCGGAAAATTTGAAGTATTCGGATCCGGATTCGCCGAATCCGTGATTTTAGTATCAAGATTCGGATTCGTATTGTCTAGATATTGTGATATCCGCGGTTATCCGGATTCGAATTCGGATCCGCAAAAATAATTAAACTTTTTTATGTATAAATATTAATATATCAGACATAATTAATAAAAAAATAAAAAAAAATTAATATATTTTTTAAAATACGGATTTGAATCCGGATATCTGGACCTAAAATTAAGATATCTGGATCCGGAGCGGATCGCAGATCAAATCCGGATCATCCGCTCCGGATCCCGGATAAAAATCTCAGTCCTAATTATTAGAGCCCTAAATAAGCCTTGAGAATGAGCTGTTTTGTGTAAGATAGGCCAACATGGGACATTTTGTTTGAATTCTAAGAATGTAACTGTTCAACAACAAGAAAAAAAAACCTCAGAAGGTAATGAAGAAGGGCATCACGAAAACCCTTTACAAAAAGGAAGAAGGGCATCTAAGGCTTGTGTGGCTTCTGACCTTATATATGTCGTAGGAAAAACTATTTTTAATATTTCAAAAATAATTGACACAATATACATATTTCAATATATATGAAAACAATAAAAACTTCAATGCATAAAGATAAATTATAGTATTAGTTTTAATATTTGTATATTTCTATTCTCTCTATTTTATTATTATTAAATTTTAGATTTTATGTCAAAACAAAAACATGATTTTATATTTTTTATTTATTTATGTTATTGTAGTTTTTCTAATGGAAAAGAGATTCTAAACGTCAATTTCCAATATGTTTTTAAATAAGAATTTTCACAAGATTTTTATTCTGAAGTGAGAAGCGGACGTTCCACGAAGCTTCCATGCTATATCTGTGTATATTTAACATAGATAACAACTCAATGAAATTTTCATACACTTCAAAATTATCTAGTCGAGTGTAAAACTGAACTGCCGGTTTGATAGTTAAGATTTCACCCACATGTTTTTTGTAGGAATTTATTTTTTATTGGTTAATCTAGTCAGGTATGGTCATATATCATCTCTTGTTTGAGTAATATTATAGATTTTTTTATGTTAAAAATAAACTCAGGAAATTTTCATTATCTTGAGTTCTAGACTTATTTCCAAGGCCTTTTCCCAACCTTTTGATGGAATTTGTATTTCGTGTGTACATCGACATACTATCAAAATATTACATTTCTTTTAACAATCAGTAACAAAAAAAAAACCGTGTTCAAAGTGTGTAAATGACTTGGAACTGTAAAAAAAAAAGAAACTTCCAGAATATCAAATTGATAGAAGGACAATTATATGCAACGAATCATCGTACATATGCCATGTTGGTTTATTACAACGTTTTCGAAATGAACAAACTTTATTTAGAATTGTAAGCTTTTCCTTTGAATATGATCAATCGAAAAGAGCTTATTTATACTGAGAAGCAAGTTCACCGTCCTTGACGATGTAATTCTCGACAGGGAAGTCTACCCCCTTAAAGTATTTGTCCAGCATGTCTTTTGTCCCTGCTGCATATCGTATCTGGGGTTTCAAAAAAAAAAACATGTTTTAGTATATGACATGACTTGAATTATGTTTTGAAAACAGTTTACGTATGTGACTTGTTAACATTCAAGGAAAACAATATATCACCTGGGCATCGATAGTGGTGCCGGAGATGTGAGGAGTCATAGCTTGGTTAGGCATGTAACGCCATGGATGGTCCTTATGCGCAGGCTGTGGGTCCCACACGTCTCCACTGTACCCTCCAATATGTCCACTTTCCATTGCCTCCACGACTGCTTGCCTCTCCATGATGGCTGCTCTTGCGTTGTTTACTATCAAAACGCCTCTCTTCATTTTTGCTATCATCTCCTTATTGAACATGCCTCTGTTTAAACAAGAACTCATTAGTCAAATCTCATATAAAGTCTTGTTCATGATTGTTTTTAATATTCGTGATATTAATGTGTACCTTGTCTTCTCTGTAAGAGGAGTGTTGATGACTACGACATCACATTTAGTAAGCATTTCATTTAGATTTTCCATGTGCTTAGCTCCAATCTCTTTCTCCAGCTCCGGTTCCATCTGAAGCCTGTCATGGTACAATAAGTTACATCCAAATGGTTTCAACCGTTGTAGTAGAAGCCTTCCGATTCTTCCAGCTCCCATAGTTCCTATTGTCTTCCCTTCTAGATCATAAGCTCTGTACGCAATACCTGCAACATTCCACTCACCGTTGATGACTTGTTGGTGCCCTGGTACGAAGTTGCGCATGAGGATTAGGATTCTCATGAGCTCATCTTCTGCTACTGAGACCACATTGCTTCCAGTGACTTCAGCCACTGTCAAACCAGCAGCTGCAGCTGCTTGCAGATCGATGTGATCCGAGCCAATACCAGCCGTGAGGAGAAGCTTCAGGTTCTTCGCTTTCTTGATTCTTTCAGCAGTCATGTATGCCGGGTGGAAAGGAGTGGATATTAAAACGTGGAGATCCGGAATATGTTTCTCAAGTTCTGTCATTTATAAGAACGGCATTAAAAAGAATCATAAATTTATTTAACAATTTTACCAAAAAAAGAAGAATCATAAATTTGCACGTTTATTGTGTGCTATGTGCACTATAAAAAATGGTAAATTAGACGAATATTTACCAGAGTTTGGGCCTTCTTTGTCATCAGTGACGATGTACTGATGCCCTTGTGATTCTAGCCATTCACGGATTCCTAAGGAATTTTCGACGCAACCAAGAAAGTTAGGGTTCTTGGAAGCGTACTCGTTGGCCTTGTAGAAAACTCCAACAATCTTTTGTGCATCACCAGCTAACGCCTGTTTCAGAAGTTGTTAAAATATAATCGCTTCAATATAAGGAATATATATACGGCTTTTCTAGAAATTACTTGATGACTAAGTGACTAACTCTGAATCCTAATAATCACGAGAAATTAAAAAGAGGAACGAACGAGCTCGATAGACGAATAGAGTTCTTACATGAGAGTGTCGGGTGAAGAAACCTGAAGAAAATGAGGAAACACAGGCTCTGATAGCTCCTTTCGTGGCTAGTTGCATCGCCATCTTTTCAATATATGAGAAATAAATAGGAATTTGATTTTTGTTTGTGAGATAAAAGTTTGGAGATGAAAGTATTTATATAGATAGACAAACGTCCGTACAGGTCGTACCAAATCAGTTGTACTGTTGGCAGATATTTAGCTATTGAATGTCATATTCTTAAATGATTTCTTACCCTTTTCTTACATCAAATTATTTCTTACCTTTCAAATAAAATATAACGTTTCATTCTCACAAAATATACTTTCCTTTCATTACATAAGAGAAAACATCAACAGTTTAAATTTACTGACTTTTCTGGTTTTAAAAGATATTGTACACAATGTTTTCGTTTAAACTTAATTCTAAAGCTTTTTTTTTCTTTTTGGATAAAGGGTTTAATTCTAAAAGCTTTTGTTAGACTTTTTTTGTTTAAAATAGATTTGAACAAGTCGTATTAATTATTATCTACATTATTATAGCAATATATATATATATATATATGTATATATATATATATATGTCTGCCAAGATATTCACTGGTGGGGTACGAAATACGGTTTGTTTACCGTGGGGCAAATGCATCACCACATGTTTTAGTTTATTATGCAAGTTCATGTTCTTTAAAAAAAATGTTCTTCCTTTACATCAAGCTGTGTTTATGTTTCAACTTGAATAACTAATACTTTTTTATCATGATTACGTTACTTCAAATTAATATATTATGAGTCGGAGGGGAAAAAAATATATCTTGTTTAGTGTAATTTATATGTATATATATGTTTTCTTTCCATAATAATATATAACTTACATAATCATTTTGATATCTGACAGTATTGATTTTAGCTCTTGAATGCCATATTTTCACGTATTTCATACCTTTTTGGGGGTAAAATGTTAGTATTCCTTACTTTTAAGATAGACTAGTTTAAAGACTTGCGCCCTACACAAAATAATCATTATTTATAGAAATTATTTTTACGTATTATTTCACTATTTTATATATTGTAAAACTAACAAAATAATAGATATGTAAATAATTTAAAACAATTAACTATTATGTATATAATTAAATTGACGCAAACACAACAAAATAATCAAAATAATGAATTTATTTATTTACAGTCATTTTATAGTAAATAAATCTAAACAATCATTTTTATATATCTTGGATGAATATAATTTAATTCAAATGATATTAACAAAAAAAAATTGTTTTAATATACATATCTATGAAATGAGACTTCTTAATCATATGGTTTTATGATTATCTGTAGCTTTTTTATAAAAAATATTGTAAACGGTGATAACAAAATTTTCATTGCGTAACTTTCAATAATGTTAATAATTTATAATCATTTTTGAAAATTTACCACAAATTTTGGAATTAAAATTTTAAATTCTTTATTCCTGTTCAATAAAAAATTTTGAAATTAAAATATTTTTGTATTTTTATATGGTATATATTTATATATATATATATATTATTTTGAATATCTGTTAAATAATATTTTTATATGGTATATTTATATATATATATATTATTTGTTAGTATATTTATTAGTTGGTTATGTTTATGTATGGGGTTCCATTAGAGATTGAGTAGGTTACTTTTTCAGTCAATTTCAATTCGAATTAAAAAAAAAAAAAAAAGAGAATAGGTGTTTTGCAAATAACAAAAATAATCTGATAACATGAAAAGAGTAAAGATCTGTACATAACTAAATATATCGTTGATATGTTGGAGTACAAAAAAAGGCAGCAAAACAAATTTTATGTTGACGTAATAAACGATACGGCATGATGGTTTCCCGGGTAGATCATCTCGCAAAAATCAAATAACCTAAAAGTTTCTTCCGTTTCTGAATCACCAACCACAACAGACAATGCATTCTCAGAGCTGGTGAAGCTTCTTGAAGAAATCATCAGTAAGGTAGTTGTACTCCATGTCCACCAGCTGCAATGTCACTATCTTATCACTCCATGTGCACCAGCTGCAATGTGGATATCTCCCACCCAACCCCGGGCATCTTTTTCCAACGATGATATGGCCGCATTTGTCACCTCAGTCTGTCTGTAACAATGGACCAAAGTAAATCAGTCGTTGGAGATAGTCTATATTACTAATAGAGACAGAGAGTGTACAACCTTATCAATCAGAGACTTGTGAATCCAATACTTCAAGTAGATCGCGTGAGCGTATAAATATTATAACCACACTGAGGAAAAAAAGAAGACATGATCATTGTGTTTTTTTTTGTTAAGTTGTTAATTTATTTATATTAGAGATGCAAATTAGAGTTGACTTAATGTCAACAGATACCTCAATAGGATCCGAATGGATAAAATAGAAAATTCAATAAACAATGGTAACCTTGCTCATGGGCAAATCAAGTGAGGATGGTAACTGTTATCTCAGTGACCACCTCGGGAATACTCTTAAAATAAATCGGAATTAAAGAAGATCTAAGCAATACCGAATTATAAATGCTAAGACAATATATATATATTAGAAACTAATTGGTTTACTGAATTATAAACCATATATTTTGAAATTTAAAGCAATAAGGTGAGAAACCTTTTTATTAACACCTCACCTTGCCAATCAATTCTGGATTTGTAACACCCCAACCTTTGTTTCTAATTGTGACACTAACATCCTCATATGAATGGTAGTGATAAGAAAAGAAAATAGGTCACATGAAAGAAATTTTAAAAAACTATCACGTATTCTAAAATGATAAAGTCATGTTTATGCTACGCAAGCAAGATCCACTATATTTTGCAGCTACCTATAGATCCACTATATTATCCCGTTGGGTTCAAACAAAGTGTATGTCCAACACATTTCACTACTATAGAGGTATGAGCTTTAGAGTAAGGTATCTTAAACATTTTTTTTGGAGTGAAAACTGGCGCAATGATGTTTACCTTGTTCTGTTGTCTGTTAAACCAGAAACAGCAAGTGTTCACACATTCATGCTGAGGTTGGTAGCAACTTCGGATTAGCTGTGCAAATAAATTGAGAATATAAAAATAAATAAGTCTCTTTTTTCATTAACCAAAAAATTCTTTGTTGTAAAACCAACCAAAGAAACAAACTTGAAGAGAAGTTTACATGGTTTTCAAGCTTTAGGCAGAATAAGTCTCTTCATACCCAACACCGAGACTGTCACGATGATTCCTCTTCTTCACTGATGCAGCAGAAACAGAGCTCCCATTGGTTTTGGATGTTGGAGAGCTTTCAGGACCAGCAGTTGGTTTTGATGTTTCGTTTGTGAACCATTGCTACAGCAAGTTTGGACAATGATGGCATCATCATCATCTATGTTTCTCCGTGAGAGCTATTAGAGACTTTTATGGCTAGCTCCGATAGCTATTCCCTATCTGTCTCAGGCCCAGAAAAAGTAGCAGCTTGCTCATCAAAGACCTTGCTAGCTTTCTCAAGAATCGATTGTAGGAGTTTCCCTTGTGCCTCTATCCTCAGCTGGAGTCTTTGTTGCCTCCGCCAATACTAAAAACACCAATCAAAAGGTTTTCACCTCAACAGCATAGGTTTTTTCAGAAATTCCAACATAAGTTATGACCGTTATTACAGCCAAGAATGAAAGAAAGAAAAAAGACTTAGGATAGTCATTCTAATGTTTTCATAACCAAACTCCTACTTGTTAGTGAAACTCTTGGAGAATCAAAGTTCTTATCCAAACCCACGCAGCCTCCTTCCACTTCCGCTTGACGGAGCCGTGCCGCCTCGTGATGATGCGTTGAACCGGAAACAGCCGTTTGAAGAATCTCTTCGGCGCGGAGTTCCCAATAGTCACTGGAGATCTCGCCGGAGCCCTCTTTAGAGAACGATTCAGATGGAATCGAATCGTCATGTAGATGTGAGTCAATCAATATCTGGCTGTGTGTGAGAACGCATAAGAATTTTTTTAGAAACGAGAAATTGAAGAGAAAGAAGAAAGCCAGAGGGTTTATATTTTCGGCTTTAATTCTTATGAAGCCCACAGATTCCCCTTCCATCGTTAAAAAACGCGAAGTTTTTTTGCCCAGGACAGGTGTCACCATGAGGAGATTCGAATTAGTGAGATCATCAAGTGATGTGGATTGATGAGAAGAGAGTGGAGTTGTTCTTTATAGTATAAGATATTAAAGGTTTATCACAATGTTTTAATGTAAGTATTTTAACAATTTAAATAATATATAGTCATTAATTAGTGTGTATCACAATAATTTAAAGAATGGGGAAAGAAGGAATTGGTGTGTATTATTTGATGAATAATTAATCATTTATATAGGTTAATAATAGCTTAAGGAGAAAATTTAACTTGGAGAATAAGTAAAACTTGTGTAACAAATATATTTCTAATTTTTTATATGGATATCATCATAATATTCATGACAGTTCGATCAGAGTCAGAGATCAAACCCTTTTTTCCTTTCAAGAAAAGAGAAAACATGTTTATAAAATATTCACTTTTTGACCCAAAAAATATATTCACTTTTCATCTTTTGATTACATATTATTTTTATAGGTTATATTTCTATTTGGCTTATCTATGTGTTAGTTTTGCTTTTAGATTCTTTAAATTTAATTTATAGAAAATAAATTATGTTTATGATTGTTTATTTTAGTTAAGACATATTAAAATGATCAATTAATTTATTAATTAACTTACGGAATATGTTTACATTTAAGTGATATAAAAAACTATTAGTTAATTCAATGAATCAACTAATAGTCGCTCAATGAACATATTTTATGATAATTATGCATAAATAAACTTAATAATTGAAAATTCGATTAAATCTTTCAACCCAATTAATGCATTAAAGTATAATTTGAAAATTTAATTTAAAATAATTACAATTTGTTTTGACAAAAATATAAATATCTAGATAATTTTTAATTTTACAGTTCTAATCTAATGTGAAAATTTTATAATTGTATAATTATTTTATTAGTTTAAATTTTTTTAATAATGGTTATACATATAAGTTATCGTTATATTTCAAGAATCCTACCAAAATTCATAAAATGAAATTTGATTTATCATAATAAGAAGTAAGACATGTCATATTTGTCACTAATACATGTTTTTTTTTGTTAATAATGAATGTGGTTGTGACATGAAACCAATTTTAAAATAAAAATATAAATGTTTACATAGTTTTTTATTTTTCAGTTCTAAGCTCATAAGAAAATTTTATGTATGATAATTATATTATTAGTTTAGTTTCTTATTAATTGTGATGCATATAAGCTATTGTTATATTTCATTTATTAATTTTCACTAAGCCATGTTATATTTTCACGAAGCCATATCATCTTTTTATTTCTAAAGAATGAATATGGTAGTGTCACATAAGCAATTTTAAAAATAAAAAATCATTTCGCAAATAATTTTGAAGAGATTATTAAAAATTTAAGATATAAATCTTTTATATATTTTTCCATATTATAAATATTCTATTTCAGTGTACCGAATTCTAGGAAATAAAAATTGACATGAACAATTCCTTTATTCTAATTTAGTATCTGCACATGTGCATGGATCATAGATTTATTTTGAAAAGTGATTTTGTAAGACCTACAAGGACTAGAGAAAATTTTCGCTTGGATAAGCGGTGGTTTGGATAAGGATAATGTTAGGGAAGTTGTCAACGAGGTTCTTCATACCATTTCACTGAATGCTGATATTGCCGTCACATTGCAAGTTGTAGGAAGCCTTTTAATTATAGGGGAAGATTAAAGTAAACCACAAGGTGGTGGTGTAGTGGTAGGCGAGCTACGAGACAATCTGGATTTAAAAGCACTTTATTACATTTTATTTTATGGTCAGAAGGATATGAATTATTGTTTTCGGTCCATTTAAATGTCCAAGAAAAAGTCTATCTCTGGGCTATACCTCTACCCATCTCTTTTCTTCTGACAAGAATATATTCATGGAGTTTGGAGCACGCTTTTCCTGAACGCAATGAAGCTGCCGACGTAATTGCTATATGTGTCACTCGCGATCAACGTCATCAGTCATACATCGCCAGAAGTGCTCCCGCTTGGCTACATTGTTTACTCGCTTTGGAGGCTCAGCAATAAGGGGTTGGGTGAGATCGTCTTACCTTTTGTTCCGATGTCTAATGACATCTTCATCTTTCTCTTATAAACTTTAATCTTGTATCAGGCCGAATAAGTTTTGTTATCAGTGTTAAAAAAAACGGCATGTTTTTCATGGCATGTTTTTTCTTGCACCTATTAAACATGTTGTGACTTAACAACTTTATAATCACATGTAACTAATTTTTTTATATAACCCTTCAGCAGTCTCTATCAATATAAAATATATCTAACTAATTAAATCCTTAATAGCTGCCAAATAAAATATAGGATCGAAGTCGATAGAAAATTAGGGTTTACTGAGAATAAGATGAGGGAAATAATAAGTATTTATATCGGTTGAACTGGGATTCAAGTCGGGAATTCCTGCTGGGAGCTTTATGGCCTCAAATCCAGCATGATGGCATGATGTCCAAGTATAATGACCTAACATGGTTTGTCAAAGCTTTTTGAGGGAAAAACATGGTTTGTCTTATGCTTCTCTCGTAGTGATACTACGTTTGCTGTCGCACATGATTCTTTCAACATTTTCTTCAGCGAGATTGGTGTAGGAGACATGTTCCTATAGACGTCTCTGTTGATCTCGAGCCCACTGTTTTGATAATATTCATACGGGAACCTACCATCAGCTTTTTCATCCCGAGCTGTTTATCTCTCGGATAGAAGATGTTACTAACAACTCACAAGAAGTGGTGAGAAAGGCATTTCCTGTTTTGTAGTACTTTCTTAACATTTTGCCATTAGTTCTCTAAATTTATATAATTGCAGTTGGAAAGGAGATTGTGGACCTTTATCTTGATCATGTGAGCAAACTTGCAGACAACTTTATTGGGAAATAAGGATTCTTGGTGTTCGATGCTGTTGGTGGTGGAACTGGTTCTGGGTTTGGGGTCTCTGTTGCTAAAACGTTTATGTGTGTTGATTATGGAAAGAAGTCTTAATTTGGATTCACCATATACCCTTCTCCTCAGTTATCTTTCGATAAAGAAACTCATTAGTAGTTACACTACAAGAAAACGCTTGAGTACCGACCAACAGTTACGACCACGAAATGGTGGTCGTAACTTTACGTCTGTGTTACGACCAGTCAACAACCAAAAAGATATTGGTGGTAAAACCGAAGTAAATTTGGGACCACATAAATTGGTCGTAAAGCAGAAGTGACTTAACTTCCAATTTAAGACCAAAAGAAAATGTGGTCGTAAAGTAGAAGTTTGTCAACTACGGAATTACGACCAAATATTTAGATACGCATTAACTACCAAATTACATGCACGTGGTAGTTTATTCGAAGTAACAAAATTTTGGTCGTAAATAGGGGGTAATATTCCCCACTTACCATTTCGAAATTTGCCTATAAATACGATCTCATATTCCATTTTTTAGATACACCAAAAAAAAAAAAAACAAGATTGTCAAAAAAAAAAAAAAAAAAACGAAACAAGATAGAGTAAAAAATGTCTCGGGATATTTATGAGCTTCGAAGTTGGATGTATACACATAAAGATTATGAGGGAAGAGTGACATCGGAGTTCCTCAACGGGGCAGAAATATTCATGTACCAGGCCGGAAACACATCTCTCATGAAGGAAACGGGTAAAATGTTCTGTCCATGTGTTAAGTGCAAGAATACAAAATTCGCTCTTAGTCAAATGGTTTGGAAGCATATAGTTAATAGATGATTTACTCCACATTACTACATTTGGTTTCATCATGGAGAAGGTGATAGTATGAATGAAGCTAGTAGTAGTAATCAGTTTGAGAATAATCGTAATAGAGAACAACATTTACCTTCGGAGGATCAGGTGGTAGATCATGATAGGATGCATGAAATGGTTACTGATGCATTTCTTGAAACAAATCCAGTAATTGCTGCAGAAGTAGAAAATGTAGAGGTGGGAGTAGAAAATGTAGAGGGACCTAACTTGGAAGCCAAAAGATTTTATGACATGTTAGCCGCTGCTAATCAGCCAATTTATGAAGGTTGTAGAGATAGTCTTTCTAAGTTATCATTGGCAGCTAGGATGATGAATATCAAAACTGATTATAACTTACCTGAAGTTTGTATGGATGCATGGGCGGAGTTGTTTAAAGAGTATTTGCCTGAAGATAATGTGAGTGCTGAATCTTATTATGAGATTCAGAAACTGGTTCATAGTCTTGGTTTACCTTCAGAGATGATAGATGTCTGTAT